GAATAAGGGATAATACAGTCAAGACAAATTAGAGAGTTCCATGGTGACTAGTTCCACTAACACATTTGGAACCCTATCAGTTTGCTGAGCATAGAATGAATTCTATTAAAAGAAATGATTTTACATATTGGAAACACACTTTTCCTTTGTGAGGACAAAACACTGACATTGCAGCTATGCAATTATGACATGCCAAAGCATTGAGCATGTGTTAATCCTTAAGGCCCTGATACAATAAAATTATTAATCTTTTACTTAAAATACACATTCAGCTGACTCTCTGTTGTGGGTTAGTGGTAGAACCCTTGTATGCCACACAGGGGACCCAGGTTCAGTTTCTGGATATGCATATCATAACAGTCATTAAGGCACTGAACATCAGGGTTCATTCTGGCCTTTGGATTCTGTCCACGGGGAACTGGTGGTTGATGTGAACCCAGGGTTGGAAAGCCACAAACAAGGCATTGGACCTAACCAGGTAAGCACTAAGGGGAACACATGTCATCAAGGCAAAGGGACACCAAGAGCGCCCACTGGGGGGCTAAAATGTCTTTACACAAATGCCAGGAGTATGGGGAACAAGCAGGAGGAACTCACACTCCTGCTTGCCAGCATGCAGTATGACCTAGTTGGCTTAACTGAAACATAGTGGGATTCTATGAATGACTGGGCAGTAAACATTGAGGGGTACAGGTTATATAGATGAGACAGAGTGGGGAGAAAAGGCGGGGGTGTAGATCTCTATGTTAAGGAGCACTACACTACACATCTTCTGTCATCAACGCAGGAGTGGAGGAGGGGAATACCGAAACATTGTGGGTCCAGGGGGGACCAGGGGAGAAGGACTTAGTAGTGGGGGTCTACTACAGACCTCCTCACCAGGATGATGAGCTAGATGAGGTATTCTCCAAGCAGCTTTCAGATGCTATACAGGCAAGGGAGGCAGTGGTCACGGGGGACCTAAATTACTCGGATATCAGCTGGGAAGAACAGGCGGCCAAAACAAGCTGCTCAAGGAGGTTCTTACACTGTGTGCAGGAACTCCACCTAAGCCAGATGGTGTCCAGTCCCACCAGGGGTAGCACCCTGCTAGACCTGGTCCTAGCAACAGGGGATGATCTCGTGGGGGACCTGCAGGTACACAGTAACCTGGGTGATAGTGACCACCACTTGGTAGAGTTCACTATCCAGTGAAGGGTGACAATAATATCCAGCAATGCTAGAGTTTTAGACTTCAGAAGGGCCAACTTTACTAAACTTAGGAACCTAGTTAGTGAGGTGGCCGAACTCAAGAGCTTTGGGCTAATGGAGGTCCAAGAGGGTTGGAAGTTTCTCAAGGGAGTGATCCTTGTAGCACAAACGGAATCTATCTCCTTACGCAGGAAAGGAGCTAAGGGGATAAAAAAGCCCCCTTGGCTGAACAGGGAGCTTCAGGAAAGACTGGGGGCAAAGAAAGAGGTATATAGGTAGTGGAAGTAGGGGGCAGTCATCAAGGAGGCATACACCACCCTGGCGCGCTATTGCAGGGAGTCAGGCAGGCCAAGGCAGGACTGGAGCTTAGGTTCGCTACAACAATCAAGGACAATAAAAAGTCCTTCTATAGATACATAGCGAGCAAAAAGAAGGTGCAGAGTAGCATAGGGCCCCTGCAGGACAAATCAGGTCAGTTGGTGGTTGATGCAGACAAAAAGGCAGAGCTCTTCAATGAGTTCTTCGCTTCAGTATTGCTTAATACCGACCAAGACAATCCCCCCACCTTGAACATAGATGTCCAAAAGGCACCAGATCGCCAAAGGTTAGTGCTGACTTAGTTAAAGAGCACTGGGAAGGGCTGGATGGGTATAAGTCAGCCAGCCCAGATGACCTCCATCCATGGGTGCTGAAGGAATTGGCCAGTGTCATTGCTGAGCCACTGGCACAGCTGTTTGAACTCTCATGGTGCTCTGGACAGGTCTCTGAGGACTGGAAAAAGGCCAATGTGGTGCCCATTTTTAAGAAGGGGAGAAGGAAGGAGCCAGGTAACTTTAGGCCAGTCAGTCTTACCTCTATTTCTGGGAAAATACTAGAAAAAATCATCAAAGAATATATTTGTGAAAGCCCAGCAGGGGAAACAATGCTGAATGGAAACCAGCATGGGTTCATTGAAGGTAGATCCTGCCTGACAAACCTTATAGCCTTTTATGACCAGGTCACACACTGCCTTGACACAGGAGCAGAGGCTGATGTCATCTACCTGGACTTTAGGAAGACCTTCGACACAGTTCCGCATCCTATTCTTATAGGGAAGCTAGAAGGCTGTGGAGTGGATGCCTACACAGTCAGGTGGGTGGCTAACTGGCTTAGGGACTGCACCCAGAGAG